TTTCTTATATTATTAAAACTTTGCATTTCCATTTTTATATATATATATATATATATATATAATAATATGTGTACATATGCATATAAAATTATTACAAATAATAATTTATACAATATTCTTTTGCTTTTTGCATTAAAAATTTACACTTTGCTTATATATTTATATTTAATATATTTACGTTTAAATTTATATTTACACACTTATTTGCAAAATTATCGCAAAAAAATATCAAGTGTATAAATATCTTTTTTTACCCTTTGCACCTCCAATAACAGACAGAAACGATAACTATTTGTAAAGGGCACCCCTTTTGTTTACGCAGACAGCGTTAAATCACGAGTCGCGAAGCACGGTTAAAGGCGATGGCGAACGCGTATACGCCATTCGTCGTCACTAAGTTCGCGAAGAGAACCGATACTCTGAACCCTGGTTACACTGATGTTACGTGCTAACGTAAATTAAAGGACGTTGCCGTAGTTGCCTCCACAGCCAAACAAACTTGCCGGATCTCCCCTGTTTACCTACACCTCGTCAAATTGAACCGAGCTGCCTCTCTTTCGACTACTCCTCCATGTCTCTCCATCCACATCTTCCGATGTCTCTGCAACTTTGTTACCACCTTTTGATTTTGTGTAATATATTCATAAGTATACGTACCTTTCTCGTTCTTTGGTCAAATATACTGATCTTCGATTTTCTACCAAAAAATCGATCTTAATTCGATCTTCAATAATAACTTTTCTTTAAATTATAACCAAATTTGAAGATCACTCCAATAGTAAGTTTTTCTTAAAACACAATGATTCCAAAATGCAATTTTTGAAATAGCTCAGTTTTTGTAATAGAAATTATAATACATATTATCTGAAATTAAAAAATAGTAATTAGTTCAATTTCTTATTTATTATAAATATATATTTGAAATTTTGAGATATAATGATTAGTATAAATGATATTGATTATTTTAAAGTTGAAATTTCATGATTCTTGATGAAATGCAATATACATCAAATTACAAACGTTATATGCAAAATATATCTTCGAATTTATTTCTCCTTTTTCCAAGATGTCACTTTCGTTTGTTACTCGTCCTCGAATCTGACCGCTTCTTTCGATTCATTTTCGTCGACGAAATTTCCACTAGAGATGGTTGAAACAAAGATGAAAAAAGGTAGAAAGGATGAGAAAAAAGGACGAGTATATCGTTTCGCAGGCTATCGATTCCGATGCGGTGAAACGACTCCCGGGAATGACGAACGGCCGTGCGTGCCACTCGAGGACAAAAGTTTCGTATTCCCGCGGTATTCGTCGCCCGTTATTTATTTCGACAGCGTATTATTGTTGTTGTTTATTATCTGAACTTCGGTACATTTAACTCACCATCGTTCCACCAAAGGGGGCAATACGAGAGATGCGCATTCCCAACCAGAGGAATCTTTCCATCCGTTGAG